GGCAGAGCTCTCGGACAGCTGGATACAGCTGGCTTCAAAAATATCTTCTCGCACTTTAAGCACTTTTGAAATGTCGGTTGAACTTGGAAAATTCATTTTTCTCAGCAATCTCCTTATGTCACGACATTTTCTTTCCTTTTTTCCTTGCTCTCAATACATGTACATCAGTAGACAAGTACCTTTCCCATAACGTAGCACCGCTGTAAAAATAAAATGCCACGACAAACCAAAATCCACCACATGCAACTAAATGCTTCTAAATGCATCTACATGGTCCTAAATGAGCCTTTAAACATTCAATAACTTAAGTTAAAAGGCCCAAAAATATGTCCTTTTATAGAGTTATCAAATCTCCAATCATGAGAAACCCTAAGAGATTCTTCCCTATAAATAACCAGTCGTAACCGCTAAAAATGAAAAAAATGAAGAAGAGATAAGAGTTTTACCTAAGGCATGAGCAAGCAACTGCAGTGCTTTCTCACCATTCACCAACCAAGCTTCCTTGGTGTCCTCCATAGCCAGACTGTAGCAGAGCAGTGATCAGGTCTCGAGAGAGACTGATCACTAAGGCAGGCGCAGCGCTGATCAGAATTCTCATGATAGAGCCCCCGGTTTTGGGAGTCATTATTCCTTTGTTATTAACTTCTTTATATGTTTAGGGTTATATTAAACGTTGAATCTTAGACGATTTTTATAACACCATGACTGTCTTACTTGGTGTTAATCTTTATGTTACCTAGACAATTATTTTCTGTTTATGAATGATGAATTATGTTTTTAATCATGATTGTTTTGTTCATTGTTTAAATATTTTACCTTGACACTGTAAGAGCATCGAGAGATCGTATGGGGTTTTGGTAAAACATGTCTTGGCAATGTAAGAGCATCGAGATATCATATTTTGTCTAGATAATGATTCTTAGATTCGAGAGAATTAAGATAGATCTATGTGAATAATGGAATAGATCTGGGATGGTGATATTTTAACTTATCTACCTTAGAGATAAGGAGCGGGTTTCAAATGACTAAAAGGGATAGACGTTATGGTAGGATAGACAACGCCTATAGTTCACGCTGAGAGGTATTGCTACAACAACAGTCTGACAAACCAAGGGTTGTAGTTAACACTGAGTAGTATTGCTATAGCAACCGTCTAGAATACCTAGTAATCCTGTTGGGCAGCTTAAGCAAGTCATAATAATTCATTCGAGACTTAGAGTAATTGTTGTCAATATAAAAGATTAGCATAAGTGCTCTGTGATAAGTCTGAATATGTGAGGTTGTTTGAATTATATTCGAATCCACACTTGTCTTTGCTTTGTTTTGTTTTAGTAGTCTGTATATTTATTTTGCCTCGACCAAACTTTTCTACAACCATACATTATACTATTTTCTTGCTTGATTAATAATAGCTTTTTTAGTTTGACAAGATAGTAGGAATTAGTATGTGACAACTAGTTCTAGTTGTGGTGAGGATAAATTTATAAACCAATCTCTGAGGAGATTATAACTCACTCACTACTATATTACTTACATCAATTGTGTATACTTGCACAGAATTACTTGCCTTAGCAAATACATTTACAGGAGATCATAGATGATCATCCACTTGATTATCAGATGCCTTTTTATCCCTAATCTCAATATCAAATTCTTGAAGTAAGAGAACACATCGAATCAATCTAGGCTTTGTATCCTTATTGGCAAATAAATGCTTCAGCACTGAATGGTCGATATAAACGATTACTTTGGTACCAACCAAGTAAGAACAAAACTTATCAAAGGCAAACACCACTGTGAGAAACTCTTTTTCAGTTATGGTGTAGTTAACCTGAGTATCATTTAATGTTCTTCTCGCATAATGAATAGCATGAAATACTATTTCCTTCTGTTTCCCTATCACTGTACCAATAACAAAATAACTAGCACCACATATAACTCAAAGGGTAGACTCCAATATGGTACTATAATGACTAAAGCATTTACTAACTTCATTTTAATTGTTTCAAAGGACTTGTGCACTTCCTCATCAATAACAAACTTTCTATTTTTCTTCAGCAAATAACATAATAGCTTAGCAATTTGTGAAAAATCCTTGATAAATATTCTATAAAACCAGCATGTCCAAGGAATCTTTGAACTGGTTTCACATTAGTTGGAGGTGGTAGTTTTTCAATAACTTATACTTTTGCCTTATCCACCTCAATGTCGTGGCATGAAATACGGTGCTCGAAAACTATATCTTCATTCACCCTGAAATGACATTTCTCCCAATTCAAAACCAAGTTGGTTTCTTCGCATCTTCTTAATAATGCAGCCAAATTATTTAAAAAATGCTCAAAATCTTGTCCAAACACATAAAATTCATCCATGAATACCTCAAGAGAATCTTCAATTCATATAAGAGAATATGGCTATCTTGCAGCGCTGAAATGTCGCTGGAGCATTGTATAATCCAAATGACATTCTTCGGGGAAAAAAAGTACCATACGGACTTGTGAAAGTTATTTTCACCTGGTCCTTCAGTGTTATAGCAATTTAATTATAACCACTCTATTCATCCAGAAAATAATAAAAGGCTTATTGGTAAGACGATTCAACATTTGATCTATGAATGGTAATTGAAAGTGGTATTTTCTCGTTGCTTTATTGAGATTTCTATAGTCCATTCATATCCTCCAACCAGTATTGGTCTTTTTCGGCACTAATTATTTTTATCATTTATCACTGCAATAATGTCTCCTTTCTTTGGAACGCATTACATAGGGTTGACCCAATTGCTATTCGAAATAGAATATATGATTTCAGCAGCCAACCATTTGATAATCTATTTCTAAATCACTTTCTTCATTATTGGATTTACCCTTCGTTGTTGTTCAATCAAACTATTATTAGGTCTTCCAAAAGAATCTTGTGCATGCAAAATGCTAGACTAATGCCCTTTATATCAACGATACTCCAAGCTATAGCTCTCTTGTGCTGCTTCAGCACATCAATCAACTTTGCCTCTTGTGTTTCTATAATCTGTGTTGCCACAATGATTGGCAATGTTTCATTCTCTCCAAGATAAACATACTTCAGATGTTCGGGAAAGGGTTTTAAATTAAGCATAGGTGGTTCCTCAATGGATGGTGTCAGGGCTTAAATATGACCAGACATTTCAAGAGGTTCAATCTATTGCATATAATTTCTACAACATTTTCCCTTGGTATAATCGGATAAATCTGTAATTACTACCAAATTGCTAGTGACAATATCTATGTCGTCACATACTTCCCAGTGCTCCTGCATAAATATATCAATCACGTCAAGTGAGAAACATTCATCACTATCATTTTTATAAGAAACATCATTTGAAATATTAAAAATGATAAGATCATCGTTTAAATGCATGGTCAATTCTCCTTTTTCGACATTAATTAAGGATCGACCAGAAGCAAAGAATGGGTGGCCAAGAATAATTAGAACATCTTTATCCGTTTTATAATCCAAAATGATAAATTCCGTGGGAAAAATGAACTTGTCTACTCTCACATTAATGTTTTCCATAATTCCACTAGGAACGGTGGTACAGCCAGTTAGTTGCAATGTGATTGGAGTTGATCTTTCTTGGCCACTCCCAAATTTCCTAAAAATTGACAATAGATTTATGCTAGCACCCAAGCCACATAAATCTTTACCTATAAATTTATCAACAATATTGCAAGGAATAGTAAAACTCCCTCAATCTTTAAGTTTTGATGGCATTTGACTTGTAGCCATAGCACTACAACCTTTGGTAAGAGCGATAATCTCAAATTCATCAAATCTTCTTTTCTTCAAAAGGACTTTCCTCATGAATTTCATTTAGTTTGGGTTTTGCTCTAAAGCCTTAATCAACGGGATATTGATTATAAGTTGGCGAAGGACATCAATAAAAGCTCTATGTTGTTGATCTTCATTTATCTTTTTGAAGCACTGTGGAAATGGTGGAGGCATCTTTAGTTGTTGTTGAGGCATTTAAGTTGGCGGAGCATTAGATGCTACAAATATTTTTATAAGTAATGAGTTTGATTTACTATATTGTCATGTGTCTGATGTTGTGGTATGGCTCGCAGGTGGCTCTAGCTTAACTTCTTGTCTCATTCCTTTACCATGCTTAGTAGCCTCTACATCATTTTTTTCTAGGCTCTTCAACTGGTTCCCCAATCTGAATTCCACTCCTTGTTGTAATAGCCTTGCAATATTTTTCCTTGCTGCTTTGGATTTTCAGTATCGTTAGGTAGTGTTCCTTACAACTGATTATTGAAAGTATTTTCCATTTGGCCAATTTTATTCTATAAAGCCCTTAACGATGCTGATTGACTCCCAATGTAATTTTTCATCAAAGCTTCAAGAGATGATAAAGTATAAGTTTGGGTTGAAGATTATCCTTGATAAGTTTACCTTGTTGTGGTTGAGCAATTGGATGTGGAGCTTGTGGTTGTGGAATTGGTTGTTGTTGATTGTAATGTTGCAGCTGATAATGTTATTGTTGTGGGTTGACAACGCTTTGGTTTCTTCAAGAAAGATTTGGATGATTCCTAAAATTAGCATTATAAGTGTTTCCAAAAGCATTATCATTCCATTGACAATTTCGTACGTAGTAGAGAGACTTCGGATTTTGGGGGTATTCATCAAAGTTGTAATTATCTCCATAATAAACACGAGTGATGATAGATGCATCCTTGGCCTCATACATTACCCTTTATTTTTGCAATTTCTTAACCATATCCATCAATGCCAAAATTTGAGATGACATAGAGTTGAAAGCTTCAGAATCTACCGCTGCAGCATTGCGTCGACCAAACATATTCCTTATATTAGGTTATTAGCAATCATTAGTTGAGAACCTCTCCATAATATCACAAACTTTATTGTACATTTTATATATCAAAGCTCCATTTGCTGAAGCATAAAGTACCATACCAGTGTGTATGTTTAACCCATTGTAAAACATCTCCATTTGAGTCCAATGTGAAAATCCATACATAGGACACTTCCGCAACAATTCCTTAAATCTTTCCCATGCTTCAAAAAAGCTTTCATCCTCCATTTCTTGAATGAAGTTAGATTATTTCGAAGTTTGGCATTCATACTCGGTGGGTTAAATTGCAACAAAAAATTTTGTGCTAGCTCATTCCAGGATGCTATAGCACCTGGCGGCAGTGAACTCAACCATGCTCTTGCTTTATTGCGCACCGAATAAGGAAATAACTTTAGCTTCAATGCTTCCTCAGGAACACCCTGCTGAATAAACGAATTACATACCTCCAAAAACACTCTCAAATGAGCTCGAGGATCTTTAGCAACATACCCTCCATATTGGCCCATTGATTGTAGCATTTGGAACATGACCATTTTCAACTCAAAGTTTGCAACATTAATCATTGGCCTTACTATGCCTGGATGCAGATCATCTAGCATCGGCATTACATGTTCTTGAATAGGTAGGTCACAATCATCCATATTACAAAATGGTTGTCCTGCCCCATTGCCAGCAGACAACTCACCATTCTCTCCATTCTGCAATGAAGGTACAACAACATTCCCTCGTCCAACCATAGTTGTTCAGTTCCTTGCAGCTTCATTGCGATGTCTCTTAAAATTCCTTTCAATCTCTGGATCAAACAACTTTAATTCATCGTCGATGCAAGGCATAAACTAGTAGAAAAAACTAAAAAGTACCTACAAAAAAAAAATAAAAAATAAGTGAACTAAATAAAACTCTAAATCAAATTGTTGCTTCCCGACAACAGCGCCAAAAACGTGATGTTGTGTAAATACTATAGCTTAAGTGAAAGTATAAACTAATGCCCAAGTAATAAGTTGTGGCTCAAAGAGATACGAGTATCATATTAGAAAAATGTTCTTCATTAGAGTCTAAGCTTTAAAGAAATTATGGGTATGTAAAAGATGTTATTTAAGTGAAATAAAAATCATAGTATGAGAAACCAGGTCATGCTACAGCACTACAAAGAGCGTTAAGTCAGCTATCGAATAACATAGAATGTTATTATGAAAATAACACTTTAAGTAAACAAAGCATACTACTTCTATGCGATTAGCAATGATTAAAACCCTTTGAACTACTCTAATAAACTTTCATTAATTAAAGGATTCAAAGTATTAACAAAGCTAAACAATTTGTTATACTATTTTCAACATACACATTGCTGCTTAGTAATACCAATGCTATCAAAAGTACACAACAAATCAATCAACTCTATTTCTAAAAAATTAATCAAAATACCATACATTTAATTACTACTATTTCTAATAGTAATCATAAAGCAAATATCACATAATAGTAGTAGAAAAACAAAACATAAAGTAATCAATCCAAAATATTATCCATAAAGTTTTAAAAACATCCAAAGTTACTCACTCTCTCAAATAGTAAGCTTCGGATGGTGATCTGCTAACTGTCAATGCTACTCAACGAGCTCTTCTTGTGCTGCAGTAGTCCCTGGCAAGGGTCGTTCTTGAGCAGAAAATGTTATTCACTCCCTTATTTTTCCTCATTCTCACAGAGTTGAAGTTACGGATTTCTCTCGAGGCATATGGGTCTGTTGCTATGATCATATTCAGATTGATGTTCTTTTTCTGTCATTTTCAATTTATACATTGTCGGATCACATATTTGCGACACCATGGGCAATCTCCTTTCCTGGCCACTTTTGTTTATGCCAGCCCAAACCATATTGTTCGTAAAACTCTCTAGTGTTCCGTCTCTGATCTTGTCCCCGCTATTTGTGATAATTGGGTGCTTCTTGGGGACTTTAACACTACTCTTCATCCCGAGGACCGTCATGGTTGTGGTTTTTCATCCGATTCAGATTCTGATTTTAAAGACATTGTCTTCAGTTGTTGCTTACAGGATCTTGGTTTTCATGGTCCAAATTTTACTTAGTATTGTGGTAACTGCTCTGTCTGGGTTGATCGCAGCTTTGGGAATTCTGATTGGTTTGAGGCTTTTCCTACTTTCACTCTTCATCATTTTATGCTTATGGAGTCTGATCATGGGCCTATCCTTCTTTCCTTTAGTGATTCTAGTACTCAGAGACGACCTTATTGTTTCAAGTATTTAGCGAGTTAGTCACTTTATGGTGAGTTCAAGCAGTTTGTCTACAATAATTGAGACACTACCATTTCTATTTCTGAGGCTATCACTTCCTTCGCGGATGTCGCTTCTCGTTGGAATAATCAAGTCTTTGGCCTCACTAGGTGAAATAAAAAAAAACCCTCTTGGCTCGTCTTCGGGGTATTTAGTTATGCCTTGATCAACGTTGTTCCCGTCATTTATTGGAACTGGAATCCAGGCTTCTGACTAAACTGGAAAATATCATCGATCAGGAAGAGCAGCTCTGGATCCAAAAATCTAGAGCTGATTGGATAACATTCAGAGATCGCAACACAAAAATTTCTTCCACTACCAAGCCATAATTCGATGCCGTCAAAATTTGATTCATTATCTTATGCTTCGGGATAATGAATAGTGTGATGAAGATAGCATTTTGTGGGAGGAGGCAGTCCATTTTTTTGCCAGTCTTTACTCTTTGGACGTTCGGCCAATAGGCCCCTACCCCATTTCTAGCTGATTTCCAATTCTCTCTGTAACACCTAAAATCCGTATAATTATATCTATACAGATTATAGATGTCACATGAATTTCTTTAAAATATTTTTCAATTCAAAACTGATTTAAAAATTTATTTTCTTCAAATGGTAACTGATAATATAAAAATATCATCTAACATTAAACTATCACATACTATGTAAAAAATATATTAATATGGATTTATGTTATCTATATTGAAATAGAGTAAAACAGTTTAGTTTAGTCATTACAAACCAGTTCCAAATAGTTCAACATAGCAACTAGGACATTTATAAGTGCATACCACTAACTAAGTCAAAATCACGTCATAGGATGTCTTACTGATGTGGAAATATACTCCTCGATGCTTGATGTCGCTCCAAACTCTTTACTCTACTACTGACTTTTTATCTACGCGTGAAAATCATCACACACTAAGTATATACTTAATGAGGCAATTTAAAACAATAAACAATGCAATACATATCATGCATGAAATTTAAGGCCAAAATCAAATTGTCATAAAATCATGTTACCTTTATATCAAATATTTTACCATGATCAAAACAATAAGATATAAATATTATCATTTTTACCATTAGCTATAGCCCACAAGTAAACATATGAAGACCCTGGGTATTCGAGTAATATATGCACCGTAGTGCTACACATAAGGTCGTGCCCACCATATGTACCGTAGTACATTACACATAAGGTCGTGCCCACCATATACACTTAGTGTCCTTACACACTATAGTGCTAATATAAACCTACAACTGCTATACTCTATAGCATGTCAACTATACCCTGTCCTTCAACGACTTACTTGGGCATATAGTCTAATTCATTCATCCATGATGTCATATAATCATATATTTATACATCATCTGGAAGACTTGTGATAAGTTGACCTTGTTTATATCATCATGATGTTATGTCATTTTTATAACTTCGATATGACATTGATATGTCACAGTGTCATGCATGTATTGCACTCACCTCGACACTTTATATATCCAAAATATGTGTCTCACTACGATCCACAATAACTCTTTGTTGAAAACATTTTGATGTTTCGATAACAAATTAAGTTTAAATGAATTTTAAGATTTTACAAATGATTTTCTAAGTATATTCGATTCAATTAATCGAATATCAAATTATTACTCCAAATCTTTCAAGATCAATTTTAAACCTTACTAAATGTGTAAAATTGTGTTTTATACTTAATATATCTTTGAAACAACTTTCACAAAGTATTTTGAACCAAAATTAAAGCCTTAAATTCAATTATTCAAAGGCATGCACCGATGCATCAAACTATGCATCGATGCACCGATGATTTAATTGAACATCGAATGCATTTTATGCATCGATGCACATACCATGCATCGATGCACTCAGGGTTTTATAAAAACATCGAATGTATTTGGTGCATCGATGCACAAACCATGCATCGATGCACTTAGGCTTTTTTAAAACATCGAATGCATTTTATGCATCGATGCACTCTTAGTGCACCGATGCATTGAGAGTCCAACTGTCAAAATATTTGAATTTTACACTTGATGCACCTAGGGTATGCATCGATGCATGAGACGCTCCTAACTGATTTTATTAATTGTTTTCACACTTAAACGGATCTATTGACTCCACTAATCATCCCCAATGTTCAGAAGTGATCCAAGGTGTATTTAAGCAAGCTTAGAAGTCATTGATCAATAACAAGAAACATCAAGCAACTAGAATCAAGAGAGAATCAAAGAGAAAGCATCAAACCTCAAGTTTGAGCATTTCAAGCCTATTTTTCATTCAATATTCATTTTGCTTTCAAGAACACTTATTGTGCTCAATTGTATTCATTCTTGAGTGTTCTTTTCTTTGTTCTAGAATTATGCAAACAATCTACCTTGTGAGGATTTCCTTGTAAGTTTGCAAATTTGTATTGTTCTCTTTTGGAGAGAGTGTTCTCAAGAATTTGGGGTATAATTCTTGAGGGTTTGTAAGGTTACTCTTTGTCCTCAAAAGAAAGACAAATTAGTGAATTTATGGAAAATCCTTAGTGTGGATAGCTAAGGTAGTGGACGTAGACTTTGGTTGAGAAAGTTTAACCACTCTAAATCGCTGTGCAAATTTCTTTTAATTTTCTGCAAAAGCTTCCACCAAAATTTTAATTTCCAATTCACCCCCCTCTTGGCCATATTCGTCAATCGATTAACTCAACAATTGGTATCAGAGCCTAACTCATTTGAAGGTTTAATCGCCTCTTGAGTCGATTCGGGAAGAATTACATCGATAATCAAAGTCATCAATGGCCTCTACTTCAAACTTCGACTTCGGTCTCGATTCGATGCCTGTCAACAAGCCTCCTTTCTTTAATGGGGCTAACTATGCCTATTGGAAAAATAGAATGATGTACTTCATTCAAGCAAGTGACATGGGAGCATGGAATGTCGTAGAAGAATGATACTTCAAGCCTCTCACTCAT